TAAAGGGGTTAAGAATTTTTAAAGAATTTTTTTTCATGTGTGGGAGAATATTTAAATAAACAAAAAAAGGGAAAATCTGTGTGGCTTATTTTTTAAAAGAAAATTTTAGGAATCATGGGGTACTTTTTTTATTTTATTCTTAAAAATTCCATAAAAAATGTCCTTTTTATATTTCTTATTGAGAAACTAAACTATTACTTAATTAAAATATATTAATTTGGTTTTTGTTCTAAAATAGTACATACTTAATTTTATAAATAAAGAACATTTTTAAATAATTTATAAAACAAAAGAGAGAATGCTTTATAATATTTGTTAATTTCTAAAGAATTGTGTCATTGAAAATTTAGATATTAATTGTTCAAAAATTAGAAATCTAAAAATAAACTATTGAAAATAAAAATTATATATATTTTATTTTAAAAATAAATGTAAATTATATAGATTTACTTTAATTATTTGTTTTTCAAAGCTTATTTACGTAACATTTAAATATTCATTACTATTTATAAATTATAAAAACTATCATATATTTTCCTTAATTTAATTTGTCACAAATTCAAGCAAAACTGATTAGTTATCTTTGTATGACTTGTTATTTACAATAATAAGACAATTATCTATTCGGAATAGACAGACGGAAATGATAATTATAAAGGCCAAAATATTTACAAGAATTTTATTTTTATTCTTAAGCTTATAGATTAACAATAATTACCGGATTAACATTAAACTCTCTACAGATTAAAATTAATTTTAGTCAATGTTTAGAATGATTATTCTCAAATAAAAAATTACCTATAGACAATAATAATAAAAATTTTAAAAATTAAAATATAATAAACTATTTCTTACATTTATCAAAGGACAAAAAAAAAGTAACAAATAGACTTTCAACTTAATTCAATATCTACCCTACTTCAAAAAAATTTTTCTAAAAACAGAAAAGTCGAGACCAAAACCAAAAAGACCTAAGAAAAGTCTTGAGTCATGGCTCAAAACCACAAGTTTTTGACAGCTGTAATGAAGAAAATTGGCTAAAAACCAATTTTTCAGACAAGTCATAAATGACAAAGTTATTTTAAATGGGACATTTTTTAAAATGAAATAACAAAAGTTTCGTAAAATATTCATGAGCATTACTAAACATACTTTTTTGCACTCAAAATAATTTAATTTTGCACTAATACATAATAATATTAGTATTGTTGTTTTTCTTGAAAAATAACTTGAAAAAATAATAACTTTAAAATAATTAGGTATATAGGTATTTTTAAATTTATTTTTTAAAAATCTGCCTTTTAATTTTCAAATAGAAATATATAAATTAAGAATAAATAAAAACATCATAAAAATTAAATACACATGTAATTATGTGAGGATAAACTAATTTAAAGTTAAAATTCCGAAAAGAAATTTAAAAAATAAGCAAAGATTATTTTAAAGATGAATTACGTAAAGACTGTATTTATTACCTTCCCTTAAATAATTACCCCACCTCTATTATTTACCCCCTCTAGGTAGAGATCGAAACAATAATTACCCAGGGTAATTAATACAGTTTTTACGGTACGCATTTGTTAAATATCTCTTTAGACACAGAATTATTGTTTATTGTCCCTTTTTCACGTTTTCCATGTTCAAGAAAAATAAAAAAACTTTTTAATTTAATTTAAAATATATCCAAATCTCAAAAACATTAATTATAATAACAATATTATTTTTATGAAACTAAAAAATAAGAAAAACTAATGTTATATTAAAAATATTTATTAAATATTTAATAAAGTACAAATGCACTTACATAGTACATATATTTAAAGATAAATATATAAATATATTTTTAAATAATCACGCATATGGAAAAGGAAGAATTAAATGAAAGAATCCATTTTAAGATTATTTTTTATAAAAAAATTATTTGGTTAAAATGAGAAAATAAGCTTTTTGATGGAGTGATTTTTTGTTTGTTTTTTGTATATAAAAATGGAAATTTGAGAAAAAAATAATATACCGGAAAAGAAAAAGTATAGTAAAGAAAATTTAAAAAAGAGTGAGAAAAATATTTAAAATTATTTTAAAGAATAAAGTTAAGAAGGGATTTGAGTATTTATATAAAGTGTTATTGGCACTTTTTTGTGTGTTTTTGGAGATTTAGTGGAAAACCAAAATTAGATTGATAATTAATATTTTACAAATTAAACCCCTTTTTAATAAAACTTTCAAGGACATCAACCATTTGTTTTTAAATATTTAATTTATAAAGAAATTAAAAAATATATAAAAATATAAAAATAATGAGAAAATATTTTTTAATTCAAAATAAGACAAAACAAAATCTGGCAATGTTTTTTTGTTTTTTTCTTAATTTTTCTTTTTAATTTTGACATAAAATTTATTCATCATTTTGAATTAAAATTTTTTTTTAAAATATGGATGACCTTTAACAAAGCCACACAAATTTATTCTCTACTATATAAAAATATATTCTTCATACAAATTAAAAACAATTGAATGTATTACTTCAATTGTTTTATTATTTATTATATTTTTATCTTCACTCTTCCTTATTTTCTTCTTTAATTTGTCATTTGGCATTCATACATCTAAAAAGCATTTCTTAACCAAAATTTATTCTCTTTAGGGACTCTTATTCTTCTTAACCTTTCAATTAGCCAAGTAAAAAATAAAATAGCTGCAAGATGATAAAATTTTAAAAAATGATGAGACAAAAAATTAAGAAAATTTAGAAAAAAACGAAGTCTTTAATTAAAATTTAGAAACTTTAAAGAAAATGAGAAAAGAAAGAAAAGTTGCATTTGTTGGAGAGCCTGAAAGAAAATTTCATTTAACGAATACATATTACTGATGTCATAAAAATTTGAAAACAAGGACAATTTAAAATAAATAATTTGGATAAAATTTAATTTTAAATTACCTTAAATTAATAAGTTTTAATTAAAAATATTATAGTATTTAAAATTATTAATTTACATAATTACAATCAATTTTTCTTGAAATTATGAAGGCATAAAGTAATGAATTACACTTAAATAAAATTAATCCAAAATTTCATAATGAAATAACTAATTTTAATTTATAAATTAAAGATTAATCTTGTACAGACAAAAATGAAGATTTGGCTTCTTTCAAAACGTCGTATAAGGCTAAAAAGTAAAAATTAAAACTATAGACTTTTAATCGTATGTTTCTCCACAAAATATTTAATCAAAATAATTAATAAAAATCTTTTATTAAAATTAATATTTAATAAAAAGTTGTAAATTTATTTTTCTACTTCCAAATGCACTTTTTTAACACATTCATAATGACCTCAAATTCTACATATATTTTTACTTTATTTTGTCCTTGAATTTTTACTATTTTTTTATTTTATATTCAAATACCCAACAAAAGTATTTTACCTTAATTTTTTAATATTTGGTTAATACAAATGTGTGAATGCGCAGTAGAGCGGAGAGTAGAAAAGGAAATACACATGGAAGGAATTGGGGATGTACAAACCAACCCGGAAGGTAATCGATTGCTCACATAAACGCGGATATTTATTTTAGCTAAAATATACCTTTTAAAGATTGTTTTTACTTTTGTAAATTCTTTATTAAATTTTAGAAAATTAAAAATCTTTTATTGTTTATTTAAACCTTATATAATGTTATATTAATTTTAAAAAATCCAAATTAGAAAAAAATCTTAACAATTTATCTGCATTTATGTTTAAAAAATAATGTAAGAATCCAGGTATGTATATGTAGGTAAATAAATAGTCCACCTTCGTGCCAACTTTTTGCTCTTTGTCGTGAAAAGCTGTGCCAATTTAGTTATACCTGTATATGTATTTATTCCCATAAACAAATTTACTTCTTTTAAAATAATTTTTTAAAAATAAATTTGTTAATTAAATTAAAATAAATATTAGAGATTATTATTATTTTATGCCATCATTTTATTTAAAATTTTACATAATATTTAATTTAAATATAAATGCATCTTCGTGGTCAACCAGCAGTCACAGCACATTATCAACATAATCATTTAAACAACTACCAACAGCAACAATCTGAAGCTAGTGCTGGAAGAAGTTGTCCACAACTGGCACTTATTTTAATTACCGTAATTTTTAAAATTAAATAAAAAAATATAGGTATTTTTGGTAATTTAATTGTAATCCTCACTTAAATGACCATTTGAAAAATATACAGGGTGCGGCAAATTGGCGGCCGCTTTTCTTTTTGCTATAACTTTTTTAATTTTTAATGAAAATCGTTAATTCTTTTTTTACTGGATTCCCAGTACTTTAGCAATTTTTTTGGTACCAAAAAATAGAAATTTGGTTCACAGATGATAAAGATATGCCGGTCCGAACATTTAAAAGCATCAAAAAACATTTTTTCTTGTCAAACTTTAATTGATCATAACTTCGTCAAAAATTATTCAATCCCGATGATTTTAGTACCAATCGACTCATCTTGTTCAGGCGCATCGAAATAGCTTATAATTTCATTTTTGAAAATTTTAACGAAAAATTTTGTATTTACCAAAATTATTTTTATTTAACATTCAGAGGACCGTATCTCGGTTCACTTACGTAATAGCTGCCAGATTTTGACGTCAATCGAATCAGATTGAAGAGCTGATTTCAATGATATTAAAAATTCCAAGATCAAAATCATAGCCTTGAAGCCAGACTGACTTTTATCCAAAAAATTTTGCTCGAAATTTGATTGAAGATTAAACAGACTAAATCATGAAATTTGAAGACAATTTTGATATCAAAAAAATTGCTAAAGTACTGGGAATCCAGTAAAAAAAGAATTAACGATTTTCGTTAAAAATTAAAAAAGTTATAGCAAAAAGAAAAGCGGCCGCCAATTTGCCGCACCCTGTATATAAACTAAGGGTTTCTATTAGTGCCCGGCTGGTAGGTTTTTCTATTAAAAATCGAGAAGGGTTCTAGTTTTTATTTGGTCAATATAAATATGTATATCCCTAATATTTATGGAGTAAAATAAATTTTTATCACAATAATATTTTAATTATTTTTTTTATCAAAAACTGTCTGACTTTGTTTTTGACTAAAAAAATCATTTTTAAATTACAAATATTTTTCAGTTATTTCTTTTACTCACAGCTGTAATTTTGGCAGTAATTGCGGTAATTATTTAAATATTTAATAAAAATATTCCAACTATAATTATTTTAGCTACTTAATCCATCATGGCAAGTAGTGGATATTCGAGAATTCCAAGCAGAACATCATGTAGTAGACATTTAAATAATATATTTTAAAATTAAAATATTTAGCACGGTCTTTACACAGACTGTACTCGGGCAGAAAGAAATCCTTCTCCCAGTAGAAGACTTGAAAGTTTTGTTGAAAAATCTCCGCTTCATTGCACTTATAAATTTGACCAACATGCTTTGGATAATGTTGAAGCACAAATACACGATATAGACTCTAATGCTGCAGCTGCTGAAGCTGAACATCATCAATTTTATGGTTAAAATTATTTAATTGTACCAGGAATTTGAAAATAGATTTATATACTAGAGATCGAGCCGAGCTTTACCCAGAGTCCAGGCCCAGGCATTTTTTACCTTCCTGGACTTTTCCTGGACTACATGCCCAGGCTCCGGTCCAGGTCAACAGATCAAACCCGGAACCCAGAACAGGCCCAGGCTTTTCAAAAATCTCGATATCCAATATATACCTGTTTGTGATTTAAATTAGTTTATAAAATAGCCAAAATATTTTTTCCAAACCTAAATTATAATGATTTGTCAAAACATTTTTTAAAAAGGTTGGCAAAAAGCTGTTCTTATTTGTATGGGCCTTTCTTTAATAGCAGCTCTGTTTTCCTGTACAATGGGATTATGTGCACCTTGTACCCCAGGATGTGCTGTTCTACACAGTACTGCCAGTTTCTTTGCTTGTAATAATAATTTTTAAATAATTTTTAAAATTATTTATTTAAAAAGTTTTGTTTGCCGTTGTAGCTGCTTCTGTTTTCTTTTTCGCAGCTCATCGTGTTGATAGCCGTTTTGTCGTTGTAAATTATTTTTTAAAATAATTTTTCAATTAAAATTATTTTAAGGGTCTTGTTGGGACTTATGAAGTAAATATATAATTTAATTAAAAAGAAAATTTTCTTTTTAATTAAAGCAACAAATTGGTGAAGCATTTTATTGTTATGTAATAAGTTGTTTGTTGTTAATGCTTGTTTTTATTTTGAGGTTTTTATTTAACGAATCTTAAATCAAAGTAAAAATTATCTCCCATCATTATTGTTAGTTGAATTCTTTTTTAAAAATATTTTCAAATGGACATGAAATTATATTCTTCCGAAAAAATTTATTTAGCCGGATACGGATTTGGCATATCTTATTTTATCCATTTATCTAAGTCTAGATTCTATAGCATGTCTAGATTAACGTTTTATGTCATCCTAATATTAATTTTTAGATAAAAAATTATCAATTAAATTACATATTTTAAATAGTTTAATTGGTGCCTACCATGCTCTAAGAAGCTCTACGATACAAGCAAACCAAACAGCTGCATGTTTGGCACGGCGGGAACAAATGGCTCCTTTAGCAGGCCATTGGTCAGAAAGTATAAGTAGAAATGAAAAAATTGTTTTTGGTAAAACAACTGTTTAATATAATAAGTATAATCAAAATTGATCTTTAAAGTATAATTAAATTTCAAACAAGCCATTATTTATTTATTTTGTTTGGGCTGGCATTAGAATACATACTCGGAGTATAATGAAATCTAACCTTGGAGTTATGTGTTGCGGATCAGGGTTTTCTTGAAGCTGGAAACATGGGTTCGGCCGTGGAAATTCTCAATGAATGTTGGGATCGAGAAAACGGCGGGCAGGGATTGCCTTTAAAATAATTCCAAATTTTTAACATATAAGTGAAATCTGGAAAAAAATTTATAAAAAATTTTATAAAGTTTTTTTTCAAAGTTTTCTTCAAAAAGGCAAAATTCCGCAGGTCGCAAGACAAAAGAAGATTTGCATCTAAAATCCAAATTTATAATTTTTTAATTATTATAAAATTCCTTTTTCTCTTTTGCCTTTTTTTAATTTAATTCTTTCTCGCCTAAAAATTACATAAAACATTAATGCATTATCCTAATGCCAACCCTATTAAGTCTTAATTTAAAAATTAAATTATTGTTTTATTTGTTTAGATTGAGTAAATTTAAAATTATTTAAAATTATTTAATATTTAAAACATAAAAAGTAATATTTTAAAAGACTGGAAATACCGGAAACAATTTAATTATTTGAACATATTTAAGTATATTGGAGTAAAATTTTGTATATAATAACCTAATCGCATTTATTGAACGTTAAATTAAATAGCTTCAAAAATAAAAATGAAAATTATTCCAACTATTTTTATTTTAATTCTATCGAATATTTTAATTAATTCATTATATCAAGGTAAATATATCTAAATTCAAAATTTATTATTAAAATATATTTTTGCCTAAATAATTTAACAAATTGTCGTTTTAGACCTCTTACGAATAGTTTTATTTTATAGAAGCATGGCTAGTCATTTAGGGAATTTTTTGTAAATAAAGGAAAAGCTTTTCTATTCTAGTTTCTTTACTTTTTTAAAAGTTACACTAAATGGTCTTAGTTATTTCACGGTCTTGATCACGGATTTCTTAGTTTTACTGTTCTCTTTAAAACTCACTGTCACGTGCTAAAAAAAACATTTGGATCATTTTGGGATGGAAAACAAATCCTTATTAAAATATTTAAATTTGTTTATTATTTTAGTTCAAGGAACTCAATTAAAAGGAGATTTTATTACCCATGATCCAACAATGGTCAAAATTTCTAATGGAAAATTTGGAGTTTATTCGACAAATATAGGGATTGAGGCGAGACAATCATCTGATTTAATTAATTGGGAAAGAACTGCTTCCGCATTTCCTGCGGGTATACCTTGGGCTGTGAGTCTGACTCAAACACGAAACACTTTTTGGGCACCAGATGTTTCCTTCCATAACAACAAATATTGGCTTTATTATGCTATTCCCGTCAAGAACAAAAAACAAACAGCATATATTGGATTTGCTACAAGTCCGACTGGATTGCCAGGTACATGGGAGGATCAAGGAAAGGTAAAATAATAAAATAAAATTTGGTAAAAGTTGTTATTAAATTTATTGTTAGAAACAATCTCTTTTAATTATTTCTAGCCCTTCTAAATTTATCCAAAAAAGGAATATTTCTTTATTAATATTTATTCAATTTAATAATAATTTTACAATTAGGCTTAAGGGGATTATTGGGGAATTTAAAAGTGAATTGAAGCTGAAGCTAAAATAACAGAAATAGCTGAGTTTAAATAAACAGGGAAATGACAAAAATGATTAAGAATGTTAAATAAAAATAAAGTTTAAGAAATTGCATGAATAAGAAAATATATTTGAAAAGGACATTTTTGGATTTAAAAATAAAGAATTAATCATATAAAATAAATCACACATATTTTGATTGTAATTTAACATTATTTCCAACACTCCGCGCAACAAAAGTATTTAGGATACAAGAAAAGATAAAGCGAGTTAGTAAGGGTAGAATACAATAAAACATTAAGATGAGTAAAAAGATTGAAATTATTAAAAGGAAAAGGTAGCGCGGGAAAATGAGTAATTTTAAAAGGTTGGTAATATCCATATTTGGTAGCTTCAAGTGCCAATGTGGTGCGGTTTTGTTTCCATATTCTTCGTTCCAAATTACATCATTCAGTGCTGCTTCAGGATAGGCAAGTTTGCCTTGTAGTTGAAATGTTGTTGGTGAACTGCCACAAAAAACTTCACACGTCTCGTCAATATCCGACGTGGAGAAATGTATACTCAAAATCTTTCTTTCAACTGTCGGTCGGCACGGTATTGCCATTTTCGCCGACGGGCAAATTATGTTTGCAAGAGTCGATCCAAAGTCTGTTTTACATTCTAAGTCCACATGAGCTCCTTTTTTACAATCAAAACATCCTGTCAAATTTGCTCGGACTATACAAGTATTCATGCTTATTTCAGTCTTTAAAATCATTCCCTCAATTTTTATCTGAACTTCAGCTGACGTTAGATCGGGAAAAGCTGTTATTTCTCCGTAATCGACTTTTACTAATATTCCGTTATGATTGAAAGGGAGATTATTCGATTCTTGAAAAATTTGTTCATCTTTAATAATTTCTGTACAAAGACAATTTACATTATCGTCAGCTGGTCGACATGAACAGGTAAGTGGATCTACAGTGCAATTAAAATTGCCTGCTTGGTATTTATTTGCGCATTTAAATTTTTGTAATTGCGTTTCAATTTCATAATCTAGCATTGCTGCCTTTTTTCCATCAAATACAAAATTTTTATTTAAAACAGGCAGTATGGGAGTGGTTATGCTTTTTAACGTTATTTCTATTTTATTTTTGCCTTGTCTTGATGCCATTCCTGGTACTAGATTAAAGGCACTTTCCCATTTTCCCTCGTTTGTATCTATAGTCAAATTCATTCCAAGTCCTAACTCCCATTTAGGACATTCAAAAATTTCCAAAATTCTTTCATCAACAGGAGTGGCATAAAATCTATAGAAAGTACAAGCCGGGGTTGTATAAAAACATCCGGAAAACCAACCACCGCTACTTTCTACACATTGTGTTATTCCTGGGTAATCATTCGTGGCATTAAATTCAATTAATTTTTCATGAGATTTTATTTCGCTGCATTTTAAATCATAGCAGCTTCCTGTTTCAGGGCATCTCTTTGAAGATTCAACTTGCATGTGGAAAAATCGGGAAAAATATTTTAAACTTTTAGTACAAAAAGCCTTTGTTTTATGAATTTCCATTGTTAAAGTCCCTAATATTTTTCCGGTATGATCGTTTAAAGAAACTTGGATTTGTTGCTCTTCGGGATTAAATGTCAAAACAATTATTTTTTCAAACGAGCAGCTTCTTTCACCGAGTTTATTCACAACACAACTTTCTTCAGTTGCTTGTAAACTAGTGAGGCAAAAACATTTAGTTAGATTGATTAAAAACAATAAAGCAACAATCACTTTCATCGGACGTTTTTTCTTTGTTATTAGTGGTTTAGTTGGTTTTGGCTTTGATTCGTTTTTAATTTCCTCCTCCCTTTTACTTTTTCTTGCGATGAATCGAATAAATTTTATTTTATGCTTTATTACCCAGAATGTCACTTTCAAAATCAAAATTATTATTTTAATGGCAATGTATATTAAGTTAGAACAAAAGTAAACTAAAATCCCAAACAATATCATGGAAACTTCGGGGAAACAATGCGGGTTCATTAAACGTTCAAAACAAAAAATACAATTCATTATTTCACAAATATTTAATTTTTCACATTCTATTTTCATTTTCTTTATTAATTCACCATTTTTATAAAATTGAACGTCAGTTTTGTATTTTTCCAAAACAATTTCATGGCTTAAAGTTATGTTTTCTATTTTTTCGGGGAGGGCTCTATAAAAACATTTCTTTTCGTTACAAATCTCTATTCCACCTATCATTTCATTTGTTTTTACTTGTATTCCTTCTTTTGTGCATTTTAATTCACACCCTTTACAAAGTGACGTTTCTTTTTTCGGAAAGCCATAAACTTTTATTTTCACTCTTCCCCATGCTTTTATCGCTACTCTTCCCTCCGGAGCGACAAAAAATGCTTTTTCAATTCTGGGGTAAAAACAAAATCTAGTTCCCTTTTCGGAACAATGGTATTTACTACAATATCTTGGGGAACCCGTAATTTCCTTTCCTTTTCCAATACAAACAAATTCTTTTATTGCATCTTCCAATTCTATTTTTAATTCATTTACCAAATATTTTTCTCCCGAAATCAATTCAATTTGGTTAAATTCCTTTATTTCAAATGTTTTTGCGCATGATTTATCTTCCTCAGTAGAACAAATTTTAGGCTTATTATTTTCCAATATTTCTTTTATTTTTACATTTTTATCTTCCGTTTGGCCTTTAAAGAAAATACATTGTTCTGCCCAATCGGGACACGTGCATTTTTCATCGCAGAGGTACTTGATACTTTTACTTGGCCAACGTATGTGTTTATTTTTATCGTTGCAGCCTATTTCTTTCCAACAAAGTGACTTGTCTTTTCTTTCAAAAATTACCAAACCGTTCGATTTACACTCTTCTAAATGTTTCAGAACTAAATTTTCATTCTGTGCGCAGCGAATACTTTGAACTTGAGCTACTTGACCGAAAGTAAATAAAAAAATTATTAATATTGTGAGAAGAGTTACCGAACTTTTTGCTAAAACTTTTAACGCGCTAGTTTGTTTTGATTTTTGATTAGACCCTTTATACTCCTTTTCATTTTTAGAGGTACAAAATTCGGTTCTAATTCTTATTAAATCATTTTTATGCCTTTCTATCTCATTATTTAACTCCTCTTTAGCTTTTTCTTTCTCTGACAATTCTTTTAAACAATTTTTAATCTCTATTATTTCTCTTTCTTGTTTTTTCAATTCTTTACCTATAGCTTCTTTTTCAATATTTTCCTTTGACAAATCGTTTTCAACGCTATTTAATTTTTCCTCTAGCGTTAAATATTTCCCTTCTATTTCTTTATATGACTCTTGCCAATCCGTCTCTACTTTTGATGAAGAGGGTTTTTCTTTTTCATTTAAATTTTGGTTATTTTGGTTCACAAATTCGTTTCTTCTATACCAACATTTTTGGGAAGGGTGTCCGGATCTGCCACATATTGAACATTTCATTTCTTGTCTGAACATTGCGATTCTTACCTGCTCAATATTTTGCTTTTCTTCTTCTGATTCACTTTCTATTTCTTTATAGTTTATTTTCTTTTTAGCTCTCAATTCCATTTTGTGTGTTTTCTGGTTCTGATTTTTTAATTCACTATTTTCAATCTTGTCCTTTTCCCTCTCAATTATTTTTTCGGGCATTTCTGCTTTTAATTCCATTGGATATAATAAGGCTATTGCGCGGGTAACAATTTTTCCTTTAACCCGAACTTTGGCAATTCTTATTAACCCGTCTTTACTTTTAATTAATTCAACAATTTTACCTAAATTCCAAGCTTGTTTGGGCACCTGTTTATTTTGTATCAATACAATTTCACCAATTTCGGGGATGTAATTTTTCTTATACAATTTTTGATTATGTTTATCTGCCCTTTCTTTTAATTTATTTAAATACTCTTTTTCCCATTTTTGCCAAAAATGATTTAACATCTGATTTGAATTTTCCCATTCTTTAATTAATATCTCTCTTTGGGTTTCTTTTTCTAAAAATTCTTTTTCATCTGAAATTTCTAACTCTATATTTTCTTCAGTACGTGATGGTAAAATAAGATCAATTGGACGCAACACAGTATAGGCGTCGTCGAAATTTTCATATACATAAGTTAGTGGCCTTTTATTCATAATTGTTTTTATTTCTGAAAGTATTGTTCTTAACTCTTCATAATTTAACATTTTTCTGCCTATAGCAGCCTTTAGGGAATTTTTCATGATTTTTACCATTGCCTCATATAATCCTCCAAACCATGGACTAAGACTAGGAATGAACTGCCAGTGTATTTTTTCTTTTTCTGTTTTTTGCTCAATTTCTTGTATTACTTTACATGTTAATTTATATTGCGTGCCGTTATCGCTAATAAAATATTTTGGTTTACCGTATTCCGATATAAACCTGCGCATGGCTTGAATACAAGATTTTGCGGATAAACTGGGTATTAATTCCAAATGCGTGAATCGTGTGGCCATACAAGAAAATATTTCAATCCAGACTTTTACAATTTCACCGCTACTATTTTTTACTTCAAAAGGGCCGGCATAATCCAAGCCTGTGTTTTGAAACGGCTTTGAGCGTAAAATTCTTTCTTTAGGGAGATCTGGCATTTTTGGAATCGAGTAGGGCAATAATTTTGCCTTTTTGCAATGTAAGCATCGATTTATTATTTTCTTTATTAATTGCCGTCCGCTTGGTACCCAAAACATTTGTCTCAATTCAATTAAACTTTGATTAATTCCACTATGTAATGTGCGCAAATGCGCTTCTAACGCAATTTTTTCTGCCAGTGGGGCTTCTTTTGAAATAAAAATAGGCGTTGGTGTGTTTATATTTCCTAAACGCCCTGGGCAAGTCCACATATTATATTTTTCTTTTTTCATTTTTAATTCTTGTATTTCCTTTTCATTTGGCGGGTATTTATTTTGTGCTTCTATTATTAACAATATTTCACCCATTTTTCTTAAATCGACTTTATTTTTAATTTTTTGTAAATTTGACCCAAATTCCGTTTTAAATTTAATTTTTCTTCCAAAATTTTTTATTGCTTGACAAAACGCGGTAGAAATATTAACAAGTTTAGGCCATTCATTACGCAATTCCGTATTGATTAAATCCTTTGTCAACATTTCAATTTTTATTTCTTCCAAATCTTTACTCCACTCTTTTTCATTCCTTTTTAACTCTGGTGATTGGGGCCACTTTTCTTCACTCTCATTCAAAAACTGCGGACCCTTCCACCATTCTTTATAATTTTTCAGTTCATTCGTAGTGCAACCACGTGACGCAATATCTGACGGATTTTTCTCTGTGGGAACGTATTTCCATTCAATTTCTTTATTTTCTCTCAAAATTTTAATTCTATTTTTTACAAATTTTGGTAATTTATCAATGTTTGACAATAAAATCCATGAAAGTACACATTTAGAATCCGTCCAAATATATATTTTTGTAAATTTAATATCAATTTCTTTTATTATAAAATCTGACATTCTTTTTCCAGCAACGCTTGCCATTAGTTCTAATCGGGGAATTGTTAATTTATTTTTTATCGGGGCTAATTTTCCTTTAGACATGATTATAGATGTTTGTACCCCATTTTTATCAAATTGTCTTAAATAAGCGACTGCTGCGTATGCTTTACCGGAAGCATCGACAAAAACATGTAACTCAGTTGGATTTTGTTTATTGACTGAAATTCGCCTTATTTGGAAATTGCCATAATCTACTTTAATTTTATTCCATTCCTCACATTCCGTCTTTTCAATTTCTTCATCCCAAGTTTTATCTGTTTTCCACAAGCTTTGGAAAAATAATTTTCGAGGCAAATTAGCTGGTACTAAAAATCCAAGTGGGTCAAAAGAGCTCGCTAAAGATTTTAAAACACTTCTTTTCGTCCATTTAGTTTCTTTAATTTCCTTCAACTCAATTAAAATAGTGTCTTTTTCTAAATTCCAATTGAGACCCAAAAGTTTTATAGGGTTCTTTTGCTCTTTATCTCCAAATGTTTTATTTATTTCATTCAAATTGCTACAAATTTCGTGTAAATTCATTTTGGCCTCTTCAAAAATTTTGGATACCTTTTGACATTTTTGTTTTGCCTCTATTTCATTTTCGGCACAAAGAAATACATTATCCGCATAAATACCTCTTTTTA